GTGCTTTCTGATCCCAATTTCTCTTTCCTTGTGCCTGACAGAAATAGTTAAGCCTTCATTTTTTTCCCAGGTTTGCAGCACAAGAGCTGTTTGGATTTCAATTCTCAAGCAATGCACAAATGAAAAGACAAAGATCTTACCATTCTTCCGTTCATTTCCCAGGTGGGAAGGGTGGAAGGACACGAAAACCTATGACAAAATCATCTCTTGGGAGATTTTTAGCCTAAAGGATATCTTCTTTCCCATAAAGTGATGGAGGGAGAGGAATGTGACAACTCACAGAACACTAGACATAGGAGAGATGTACAAGTTGTACAGTAGCTTCCCCCAAGTGTTGCTTGGTTTTTGCAGTGCTCTTCTGGGCAGACCCAGAAATGAGGATGTAGTATTGGAGAGGATCCCCCTGCCCCATGAAGGAGACATCCAACAGGATGAGATTCAACCAGGCCAAGTGGTGGTCTTGCCCTTGGGTCACACCAACCCCCTGGAATCCTCTAGGATGGGGCAGAGTGGCTGGAAAAGTGCCTGGTAGGAAAAGCCCAGGGGAGGATCAAGAAGATTAATTGAATTACATTAAAGCTCCTAAAAACCAAACCCTCAACTGAAATCTTGGCCTCAGTTTTTAATTTACTCTCCTGTTCTGCAATGATTTAAGCCAAGTTTCTTTTCCACAGCTAAATAAAATACTTTCAGAGCTAGAATGGAAGAGTTAGGAGTTTTCAAGTCAGTGGAAATCAAGAAAAAAAACCCTAGCTGATAGCCCTGGGATTAGCTCCATGTATCTGAAATCAGCTACTACCTTGGATAGTCTTGTTGCCATACAACCAGTGTAATAAAAAATTTATCTTTAAATGTTTTTTATTGCTGTTCAAGAGGTGAGGAATTAAGTGCACAGAGACTTGAGCGAAGAATGGATGGTGAGCCAGAGCCAACCTGCCAAGCACTGTCTGTCTGCACTGAATTTGGACTCCTGTCACAAGGTACCTGGGCTGGGGATGCTCTAAAGGCCTTGGTTACACTCGTGCTATTATGTTTTTGCTTCAACAAGAAGTTGGGACCGTGCTCTGGTCCCTGATATCACATGGGCTGTTCCTCTCTGAGTGTGGACTCTATTTTGGTGTACCCCATCAGCAGTTTTCCTTGCAGCTAGAAGGAAAGGTTTCATCAAGCTTAATGTTTGCACCATGCAGGCTAAGAAAATGGCAGAATAAATCCCCCTAAGCTGTTGCTGATCTGTGGGTAAGGTTACAACCCCACTTTTGACTGATGAGAATAAATAACAGAGTTGATGCCACCTCCAGGTTCATTACTCTTGAGGAGTTGCCCTGTGTAGTTATTTTGAGGTTACAGTTTGTTCATGCTGTCTACTGCTATTTAGGCTTATGCTTTGTCCTGTCTTACAGTGCTACAAGGGTTTGGTGTGGTGACCCAGAGTGACTTGATGCATTTCCTCTGAGTGCACTTAATTCAAGATTTCATGGCAGCTTACACAATAATATGTTGTGTCATGCACTCTGACCATGCAGCATTGCACTTTGTGAGGGGAGCCATCCAAAATAAAAATGCTTAAAAAAAGTCAGGGGGGAAAAAAGGTGCCTCAGAATCCTGGTATCAAATACATGTTTGGGCTGAAATACAGTGATTTTTTCAGCTCTGGGTGAGCTACTGCAGGTTACACATAGCGACAACCTCGTTCAGCTTTTGTGTTATCAAGTCAGTCTTTTTTACAACAGGATTTTTTATTTACAAACTCCACTTCTGTGGTTAAAAAAGGACTCTAAATGAAATGAGGGGGCAAGAATTATGGCCCCTGAGTGACTGCACCTCTCTGGCAGTGGCAGTGCCAAGCTGATTTCGAGGTTCAGCAAGTTCTGGCACTTAGCAGGACAAAGCAGATTTGCTGCAGCAACAAATTGAAGGGGATATCCCCCAAGAACAGCTTATTTTCAATCATTTCATGGGAGTTTTGCTTCACAGTTCAGCCAGGAGTAAAGACCTCAGCAGCAAAGGACTTAAGCGTGCATGGAAAACGGTGGTGTCCTCGTTTCTGGGGTGAGTGGAGTTTCACTCATGCACAGGCCTACAAAATTTGGTCTGGTGTCTCCAGCTGGGAGTTGAGACTTCCATGTGCATGTGTGATACTCCTAGTTTCTTGCTTTCTCCCTGTCTTTGCTGAGGTATCACTGTAGAGGTTTCAATCTACTTTGTTGAAAGATTAATTTGTATCATGAGAACCTTTAAATACCCAAACCAAACACATAGGAAGTTCTCTACCCCTTGAGATTAACTCCTACAGCCTCTGTGAGTGCTCCTGGTGGAGCTGCTCTGCTGTAGGAATCATGAGGAAGGGAGAGGTGCTGACCCTTGGCATTAGAGCTGATTTTGCACCTTGCCTGGGGCAAGGGTGAGAAGATGGGAGAATTTAACACTGTGATCATAGAATCATAGAATCATGGAATGGTTTAGGTTGGAATGGACCTTAAAGATCGTCCAGTTCCAACCCCTTTTCCATGGGCAGGCAATATTCCAATAGACCAGGTCGCTCAGGGCCCTGTCCAACCTGGAACACCTCCAAGGATGAGGAGTCCACAGCAGCCATTGCCACTGACAAACCAGGTAAGGACAGCTTGGATGGAAGAATTATTTAAATGCATCTTTAAATATAGAGTCATGGAATCACAGAATGGTTTGGATTGGAAGAGACCTTAGAGATTGTCTCGTTCCAACCCCCTGCCCTGGGCAGGGACACCTCCCACTAACCCAGGTTGTTCCAAGCCTCATTCCACCTGGCCTGGAACACTTCTGGGGTATCCACAACCTCTCTAGGCAACTCGTGCCAGTGCCTCAGCACCTCACAGGGAAGAAATTCTATCTACAATCCTCGTGCCAGTGCCTCAGCACCTCACAGGGAAGAAATTCTCCCTAATATCCAATCTAACCCTTCTCTCTGTCGGTGTGAAGCCATTCCCCCTTGTCATGCTCTTGTGTCCCTCTCCAATGACACTAGCATTGAGGTAACTAGATGAATGTGCTACTAATGTCTGAAACTCCAGTCTGTACCTCAAAAAAAAAGCTACAGTGCCTTAACTTTGCAGGTTTGTAACCAAGAATTGCTCCTGTGCCCATGCAGGAACCCCCAGCAGTGTGCTGGGAGGCTCAGGGTTGGTCTGTGCCCAGATGACCTTTTGCTCTCAAATAGACTTGGTGTAAGATTTGTCAGTGTGCTATTTTTAGGTGGGAAGGAGAATAAGAAAGCAACGTGTGCTATTAAAAACAAGCAAAAGGCTAGGAGTCAAGGGCTCCTGATTGATCCCTCAGCTCTCCTGCAGACACTGTGTGGGCTTTGGCAGATTACTGAGCTGTGCTGGGTCTGTTTTATTGCTGTGCCACAAGGGACATGCTGAGATGTAAAGGCAGTAGATGTGCTGGCAGTATATTCCCTTTTTCCCCTAGATTTTTTATTT